GCTGGAGTTGTTTCTTAGTAGACCCCAGTTCAACTCCTCGGTCATGCGTGTAAATAGCCAACTGGTCTGCCTCCCGCTAGTTGGGATTTTTAAGCCTGTTATGTTTATTTGCAACATTTGTTTCTTTCAATTGAAGTGGCATGCTTGAAAACTAGCTAGTTGTAGCTAGGTGCATGACGTTCAACAACATTTTTTTTAAACTGACTTCTTAAACGGTTGGGGTGATAAACAGTATTTTTTTGAAATCCTTATGCTCATTGTTTTGTTCACGTCTGTTATTTTCTAGCAACGCTCCCAGGGCAGCGCTGCCGAAATTGTCCGTGCAGCTGCCGAGAGTAAGAGGAACATGGCAGCCAAGGAAGAAAGAGTGGAGAAGGAACCGGAAAAACCGGCTTGGCTGGTCGAGGCGGAGGCACGGAGGAAACTTCACGAACAGCGGAGACACAATAAAACCAAACAACAAGGAGAGAACGACAGAGAACAGGATAAACCGGTACAGAACGGCCCTGTTCTTCGTTCTTTGCCTCATAAACCTGAACCAGTCATTGATAAATCAGATAGCAATGCAGGGGTGAACATACTTCACAATGTTATGCTTCGTCCTGTGCGAAAGCTGGAAGCAGTCGCGACTAAATCAGATGAAGACAACGATGCTGATAAATCGTTAAACTTTTGTCTACGTCCTGTGTCTAAACCGGATCCAGTAGACAGCCCAGTCGAGGAAAAGAGTGATAGTAGTAGACATCACAACGTGTTTTTACGTCCTATACCCAAGCCGGAGCCAGTTGTCAATGATAACACTGAGGACTTGTCAGGGAAGTTTCAACCGGTACGTTTGAAACCCATTGCTAAACCCTACGATCCAAGACCGTCGGGTTCTTCGATCTCCGATAACGAAACAATGCCGATGGCAACACGAATATCTTCCGAAGTGATGACTTCTAGCTCTCAACCGATGAGACCGGTCACGCAATCATTTTCGGAAAACGGTGACGTGTTAGATCAAAGCTCGCGGTCAGCGGGAGCAGCTAAAAATTCTCGCGAGCATCACTTCGTCCGTTCTCTTGTACCAATAACTTCGGAGAAACCGACGATTTCACGATCGGAGCCGAGGGTTTCCGAAGGTTCTTCGTCGCGTCTGAATGGCTCGCGAGTCACAGTTTCGTCGAATTACGTGAGTGCGCCTCACAAAATCACCCCGAAAACAAGACCCAAACCGACCAACAGGTCGAAAACAGTGACTGTTACGGCTTCTGAAGTGCCGGACCTGTCAAAAGCTAGGCGAACAAGTGTGGAGTTGATACATGCTAAAGTTGAGAGGAAATTTCCCCAGCCTGTTTCGTCGACCGTACCGTCCAGTCACGTGACGTCGCCTAGGGACCAGAGGGAACCCCGGAGAGGCGGTGATACGCGAGAAAGAGCGGAGACATTTGACTCGTCTTACAGACCGAGTTACAGTGGAGATGTCTTACCTCAGTGGAAGATTGATCTCATTGAAAAGAAGAGGAATGTTGGATCTTCACGTAGAGAAATAATCAGAGGTGAATTTTACAGCGTAATGACTGTCTTCGCGCGCTAACTGACTGAGATTTGACCGGAAACCTTCCATACATGTGATGTAGCTCCAAAAGATCGATGCAATAGTAAAAACCGTTGATGTGCATCCGAGCTAAACACATGACGAAAAAACCTGATCTAAACGGATATCAAACGTTCCATCAGTCGTCTTCAGTCATCCGAAGCTGGTCGAAACGTTTGATCGTGCTGTGAAAATGTTTCCAAAATGTATGGACTAAACTTCAAAGTAGGAGTTCACATGATAAAGGAAATCCATGTTGAATTTTCCTTTGTACTGAATTATACATTGAAAATATTTCGACAACTCGATATAACCTGCGACTTTAGCTGTGTTGGACTTTGAGCGCGAAAAATCGACGTAAATGGTCCGCCGAACTTCGAATGAGTGATAACGAATTATGGAACGTTTGGTATCTATTTAGATCAAGTTTTTTCGCGACGTTTTTGTGCTTAGTTGCAGACAACGGTATCTCCGATGGGCTGATAGGAAGGACAGCGCAAGAATCAATCAAAGAAACACAGTTGTTTTTTTTCTGTAATGCCATCAGCATGGAAAGATTCGGCTCGAATCTCAAACGTTATTCTAGGAGATGGGCGATTGTTTCATTTTCTGCAAAAAAAATGATTCCGGAGAATGGACTTTGGTGATTGAAGTATTATTGAGCTAATCCACTGATAAACATAAAATGTTTGGATTCAAATCTGGGAATTGTACAAAGGTATGCGCTCCTAGTGGCTGATTTCGGAACTATAATGTAAAGCTGACATGGAAAACAAATGGGTTTTAAGAGAAATAAAACTTAGATTAACTTCTAAACGAGAGCAAGAGTTAATTGGCTTTCGGACAACCTGGCTTTGAGTCGTACGTTTTGAGTTGGCAGGGGATGGGTGGGAAGGGCACTTTTGTGCCTTAAAACCAAGCGATGTGGTCACGTGTCCTATGTAACATGTATTCCCTTTCCTTTTGCAGATCAGACGCAACAGACCCATACTTCAAACGTGACTGCCGTTCCAGCCTGGAAGAGGGAACTGGCAGAGAAACGAAAACAGCGAGTTGCAGTGAATGGCGTACAAACGTCCCGCAAAGAAAACGAACCCAAGACATCTCCTGAGGTGCCTCGGTGGAAAAAAGAATTCGCTGAGAGGAGAAAACGCAGAGAAATGTCGCCAAGTCAAGTGCAACCTGATAAACGCGAGCGGTCTCCGGAAACTCCCGAGTGGCAGCGGAGATTAGCGAACACGCGACGAACTCAACCGATCGTGGTACAGAGAGGGCCGGTGGAAGATTCCACAGACCAGGTCCCGAGTTTTATGAAGGAGTTTGAGAGGAAAAAGAGAACCTTGCCTCGCGGTAGGTGCTTTGAAAAATGCTATTTATATGTAAACTTTCACGAAATTTGTCGAGTTTTATATTCCAATTGTGTGGGTGAATTAATGCCACAGGATTAAGAGGCTAGCCTCCACCGCCTTTGTCAGGATTTGAACATCAATTTTTTCCCCTCGATATAGCTCTAAGCTTGGATATTAAGAAAGCTACAAGATAGCTAATTTGAGCCAAGCGATGTAAAGCAACGATTCCAATTTTTCATGGATTTTCAGGGTTTAACACTTGGGGAATAGCAATTCATTCGAAGCAAAACGCTTGCCTTTGTAAACCGGGAGTGCCATCAATACATGCAATCAACGTGTCTCTGTTTCTTTTCAGAGGTTGCACCCGAAGCTGTGTGAGCCACTCGGCTAAATACCTTTTGACTAGCGCTCTTGTTAGTACAAATGAAATTAACCTGACAGTTCGTTTGCTTACATATTTTTCCTATATCCTTGTTTACAATCCCTCTTAGGACCTAGTCTCGTCTACCTGCGTGTTTACACATGCGCGTATGTTGACGTGAGTGCTAGTTTAGAGCACGGCAACAGAAAGACTAGGATATTTATTACACTTGTTGTTATACCGCGTTGACATTAATGTTTTCTTTGCTTTACAGGGGGAAGCTACGTATGACCAAAAGAAAACAGCCCAAATGTTGTTTATTGTTTCAACCCTCTCGTTCTGCAAGGTTTTTGAGTTGAATTTAACATAGAAGAGTTCATAGATGAAGCGTTGCTTCATTTTGGTATGCAATTTCGAACGACACCTTATTTCGGAAAGATAAATGATCGGGGAGGTTTGGAAATAAATGAGTGCTGTTTTTACAAATATATTAAGAATAAGTGGACAGTTGATAAATTGTAAATTGATGATATTTTGGCGCGTCAAAAAGTAAGAGGTTTGTTTATATTTGTTATGATTAAATCGAGTTAAATATATCTGTTTTCACTTTAAAAGAAACAGTAGATCTAAGCAAATTTACACGATATTTAAATGTTCAGGTTTTATTCCGATCTTGGCCCGAAAGAGCAAATATATTTTTTGTAGTGCGAAATTTTTTACATGCTATTTTTGTCATAGCATTGGTCGCATTGGCCGGAAATATTTAATTCTGTGGGAAAAGTAATGATGAACATTTTGAAAATAGGATTATAACCTTTTACCACAATCGACTATGAAGTTCTTTTATACATTAACATCTGCAACTATGACTTTCAACATTTCAGAGCAAGGGAAAAAAAGAAAAAAAGCGAAAAACCTGACTTTGCGTTTTTTTTACACGGAAAATGCTGAATTCATCTTTATAGAGCTTGTTTTAATGATTTACGTGAGAAAAAAATTCGCATTTTAGAGTTAAGTGAGCGACGTGTTCTAACCAGTCAAAGCGAGGTGCGTATTTACTTTCAGCCAATCAGGTTCGGGTTTTACAAGTGGTGATTTGTTTTGCTTATTTTTCCCGCGCTTGCCAACCGTTGCAAGTGTTATTCCTCGAGCTTTGATTGGTTTATATAGTGACAGGCT